TTGAAAAATATTAGTATCAGGAATTTGTGTAGTTTTAATGTAATGTTCGCCTTGACATTATTAAGACAACACTCACACATCGTTGTGATAACTAATATTTAATAAAACCCCTTACCAAAGCTACCACAACTCAAGGATTTGAAAATAATTAGTTAAAACATTGGGATCCCAAGAAAACCCTTTTTAAAATATTGTTTGAGCTCAAACCATGGTTAAAAATCGATTAAGAGCAAAAACGAAAGCATGAAAATCAATTCACTTCAAAACAAACTGAAACAAGTCATTTAGCCCTTATCTTATCCATCCACCGTGGTGGATGGCACAGAGGAACAAATCTCTTGAGGGCCTCTTGCGTCGCAACGGAACAATTTTGCACCACAGCGCGCACCTACTGTCATGACAGCAGATTGCTGTCATGACTTTTCTCTGAACTTTCTGAGTGGGCCATTTCGCCATCTGACATTCAATTTGAGCAGTTCAAGTGTCCACACGAAGCTCTTTGAGCCCTCTAGCTAATGGTACTGGTCTCACACTCAAACAATCATCCTTTTAAAAGATGGACACCTGAATCCAAAATGGTTCGTATTCACAACAAAACATATATTATGGTGTCCAACTCACAATACACAATGCCATTAACCCCAGAGACAACTTGACCACCTCAAATGGACCATACACCACATAACAATTCAATCATGACACATAATTGAGTAATCACACTCAAAATGACCATCAAACCCCCAATGGACAATAACACAATAGGATGGATAAAGTTCAATACACAAATCAATTGGTCATTTTCGCACTCAAAACACTTGACATATATCACATGTAAGCAACTTGGCCGAGCACACACCTAATCCATAACATCATTCTTGGATCAAGATATACACACTTATCACAAATTCATACAAGTGATATCTAAATAATGTCATGTTCCTAAGTTGGCAATATTTAGTGACAATATTCATTACAATACACAAAAAGAGAAAAGAGAAGAGCTATACAATGATGCACTTTACTCTTCAAATGCCCCTTCCTTCCCTTTGCCCTTACTAAAGCCTTCACCTGTAAAATATAACCACAGAGTGAGATAAACATCTCAGTAACCAATATAGTTCATTAAATGTTTATTACCACAAATAACCATGAAAAAGTATCAAAACTATAGTAATAACAAGTATACCATAATTATGAGATAAGTGTATCTTTTCATAACAAAACACATAGTTTCATACTAGCATAATCATCTAACCACCGAACCTCCAGTGCTCTCCGACATGAAACCATAGGCTCTCATGGTTCAACCACTTGTTGACCCGAGCACACTTTTGGTGGTAGAAATACCCAACCAAAGGTAATCTAACCTGCCTATAGACTATAATTTTTTCCTCTTCACACACTTATGATAGAGGCGTCATTGACTCCTAACCGCACCCTAACGGGTACTAGGGAGTTGCCAGACTGTCCGGATGTCCCATGGTAACAGTCCCATATAATACTGCACCAGATGTTCTATAGTGTCAGCTCGACCATATGGATTTTTCACTCACACATCTCCACACACACATATTCCCACATATCTCGGGTGAACTCTCACCCCCATGATCATGTTCTTTCACAATTTCATCACTTTTCGTCTCACTCCCACATCACAATCTTATATACATCGTGTGTGTGTGTGTGTATAGCAACTAAAATTTGATAACTTTTTACAAATCAATTTTTCATGCTAAAATCATTTACAATGTCACATTATGCACAAAAATCTTGAAAACCACAACTTTGTCATTTATAATTACTTCTACACAGTTATAATAATTAATAAATACAATAAACTATATAGTTACCTCAACTCTTTGTTACACAAAAAGGGTTACCGTGGCTCAACGTTAGCTCCACACGTTCTATATGCACGATATGGCGTGAGTGACACTCAATCTATACAATAAGTGACAATCGTCAATTATCACTCCGGATAACTCAGAATTCTCAAGGTTTTAAGTGTCTAAAATACTCAAATTCCTTTTCTAACAACATCAACCATTCCCACACACTCTAACCATCCTATTACGTATTCTAACACACCAAAATCGCTAATCAATGTTCCACATTATCTTAAAATCCTCAAATTATACTTAGAGTTCGTCTAAACCCCTACCAGAAATTCTCAATCACCACAAAACTTATAAACTTAAGGTTAGAAGCTTGATTTAACTCTTCAAAATCTTAAATAAACCAATGAGTTCGGTCTAAACCCAAGGAAATCAAAATCAAAGCCTCTATTACCCCAAATGTTCAGATTTTCCCATAAAGGAGGGAGAAGAGGGAATGTGCAACTTACCCAATGGTGATTCAAGCTCCAAATACCCTCAAAGTAGCCTATGGATCGTGCCGTAACAGACCATAAGCTTTTCTTCGTTGCTCTCTCAGTATCTCTCCTTTTCTCTTCTATTTTAGATCTGTTTTTCCCGTCTGATAAGTGCAGATTTTGCACGTGTGCTGCAGTGCACTAATTCACCCGCCGCAACGCATGGCGTAGAAAACTCTACAAAATTTTAAACTCCCTTTCGTGTTATGGCCCACTTGAACCTTGACCTAGCCTTCTTCTAAGATTGTCTAAGAATCGAAAAACTATAGTAGTCTCCATAAACCTCACTAAATAATAATTTATCTAAATTAATCAAATTACCTCTTGAAAACACTGATAATTACTAATGAGTAAACTTAGGATGTTATATTTAAACAATCAAGGTGATATATTTAAGCCTTATTAAAATCTTGTTTATAATATATATAATTTATTTTGCCAGAATTTATAATATATATAATTATTATTAGTTTTTCACATTAATAATTGATATTATTAGTTTTAACTATATCTTTTTTGTTAAAAATGTATTGCCACCCTATATCAATGTTAATATTCACATTCTATCCCAATATACAAGATAGAGTAGGAGCACTTTGTCAACCCTAATTTTCATCTCACTGTTGAATTAATCTAATATTTTACTAGAATAATTATATTATAAAATTTTAATATATGATTTCGAAAAAATTGATGAATGGATTTTTTTTTTTGGAAAGAGGTAGTACATATGCTAGATTTTACTAATAATTTCGCTTTAGGTATCAAAACTTCTTCACATGTCCCTAAATATTTTATATCATTTATAAATTCAAGGCTGAATTATATTATGACATGATTATCAATTTACTATGCACAAATATTTTAGAAGAGAAAAAAATTGAACTTGAATAAGCAACCATATCATTTTTAATTTTAATTATTTTATAATAGATGTTGCTTCGTTATCTGAATAAATGATTTGCCCACGCACGCATACATACACATTCTAGTATAATTAAATAGTTTCATACTCACGAGTTTGTCATTATAAAAATGTTTTAAGAGTTTAAACGCTTTGAAAATTCTCTAATCATTGTGCCAATAGGCTCAGAGAGGCGAATCATTGTTCCGTGAACGTTCGTGTCTGTATCCATATTTTATTTTAAGAAAAAACATACTACACTTTATTTATATTTTGCTTTTAATTCCTACATTTTATTCAGTATTTTTAATCCATGTACTTTTGTTTTTTATTATTCTAGGTCTCCCCATGTACAAAATGTAGGGACCTTGAATAGACATTAAATAATAAAAATAAAAGTGTAAGGATAAAAAATATAAAAAAAAATGTAGAGATCAATAGCAAACTGCAAGCAAAGTGTAAGAACCTAAAATTATATTTTTTTTATTTTAAAACAGTCTTTAAATCAGCATGTTTAGTTGTTTACCACCAAATTAATAATTATTGAAGAGTCAAATATTTTTCAATTTAAATTTTCTGGATAAGTTAAACTCCTTCTGTTAAAAAACATAAGGCATTTTTAACTGAATCTCACCCTCAATAAAAGAGTTACCTACTTTTAAACTAATCTTTTCATATTTAACCTTATTAAATACCTTATAATAAATATAAAGTCATTCATTAATTGGGGTATTTTTGAAAAAAAAAGGTAATGATTATACTTCAAAAGACTAAAAATACCTTATATTTTTTTACTGAAAGAGTATTATATATATATATATATATATATTTGTATTTATATATTCTAATTATAGCTTCCATGCAAAACTGTATGGTTCTATGAAATTTTGTTTAAAATAATTACACGCGGGGAGAAGATAAACATGCTTTACTCATGGCATGTGACAAGCTTGAAGTTTAATAAAAAAAATAATATTGGATACTGAAAATTGGAATGTCACTGAAAATCAAACAGATCATTAAATTGGGTTAAAGCACATGTTCAAAGGTTAATGGTCAAAATTATTATTGAATCATAATTAAACTAGTATGAAAGAAAATATTTTATTAAATCAATCAAAACATTTGTTTAAAGGTTTATTGATTTAACCAAGTAAGTTGATTCGGATTTTATACTACGTTGAGAAGAGACTGAATTGTGTCGTTGAAAAGCTCTAACAACTAAGAATTCAATCTCTTGTGATTGGTGCTATTTTCATGTAGTGAAAAATATATGGGCTCTTAGCAATGATCATGCTATTATATTTCCCTCTCTTGAATTAGGTGAGGTGGTTATAGTGATGTTTCAGTTTGCATTTGTACGCTCATTATTTGTTTGGATTAAAATTTGCTAAAATGAAGTTTTCATATATTGAAGTTTAAATTGCAAACTGAAATAAGGTTTAGATACTTTTTCCTTAAAAATTCAGTTTAATGTGATGTATATTTGAATGGTATTTTAATGTGATTTACTTTTTGATAAATAAGCATAAAAACAAAAAAAAATAAAAAAAAGCTTCTACCCAACCTTTGGACCGAAACCTATTTTTCTACAATTTTTTTCCAAACTTTTGATCCATTCTAGTTTTTACGTTTCAAATCTTAGTTTGAACCACCCAGACCTCAGTTTGGGTTTAAATCAAAAAACGAGAGAAAAATTAAAAAGGAGCTTTGGAGGGTAAGAAGTAAGAACTATGAACTGATTTATTATAGAAAAATTTCCAGTAAAACTGCTAGTTTCTATCAAGAGAAGGAAGAACTAGATCAGTACCAGATAAAATAAGAGCAAAAAGGGGAAGTGGGGGGTGGACTGTGTTATTTACAGATGGATTATTCAGCCTTGGATGCAAGCAACTCGGTCGGCCACTTCTAGTTCCTACTTGAGATCAGATCCTATTTGAAGGCAGCCAAAATTATTTGCATCTCTACACCACTCGATCAACTATGATGCGAAAAATAAAAAACTACCGCATCTCACTAGCGCCGCCTAGAGAGGAAAAATTCATAGTCAGGATGTCTGCTCGTGCGGATTGTATTCCCAGTATTGACAGTAGATCTTGACATCAGAGATGCAGTTTCTTCGAGAGTACGCAATCGCTCTTTAAGAAGTACAGAAGGGTTTAGGCCCAGCATTTCTGCTGCTTGTGCAGATTGATTCAGCTGGAACCAGCATTCACCCTGTTCATATGACATCAAGTATATCCATTAAGCCTATGGTACATGGTGTACCAACCAAATAACTTCTAGAAAGTGTCATGTCATGATAAAACACTAGGGCAACCACATTTAGAATAAAGATAGAATGTAATCTCTCCCCAATGAGAGTAATGCCTGATGCAACACGGTATGATTTGGGATATCTGACAATTTTTAAGTTTTTAATGTATAGATATGACAGAGGCACAAGCATATGTGAATGTGCACTTAATAAATTAACACAAGAAAATTAAACAATATAAAAAATTGAGTTTTAGACAAACATTTCAAATGTTAAATAAAGATGTTGACGTTATCGATAAAAGTGTAAATAAAATAAATTAAAACTATAATTTCAGTTCAGGTAAAACGTTAATCTTCATCTCCATTTATATCATTAGAATTCTTCATAAGCTTTTGAACCACGTTGCAACATTTTGAGCCAATGCGTCATGAAGTATGAATCATATATCGTATCAAATGAATATTTGATAATTAATACAGGTATGTCTTTCTTTTTAAAGCATCCGAAGTTCCGAACTAAATATTATGAATTCTCCAATTGTTGTTTCTCTTACAAAGAAGTGATATTTTAAAAATCTTTCATGAGTATATTTTCACAATTTGGATTCTGGAGAGCAGAGACAAAGCTCCTCCATCATTATGATTTTGCGTTTCCTCTGTCTGTCTTTTTCAGAGGGGTCAATACATTATAATAAAAGAAATTGCAACTTTGAAAAATTTTGGCACTAATATGCACCACCTAAAAGGTTTTCGTCCTTATAAAAACATCCCACACAGCACTCAAATGAACAGCATATTCAAATAAATTCAGGAAGCAAATGAAGCAACATAATTAGTACCTGGGCATTATAACTTTGAAGACCCACAACTGGAGAAACTATGCAAGAATCTAAAGTAGGTGAAGCACTCTTTAAACCTCTATGAACCAAATGTCCAATTGAATGGTAAGTCAAAAAAGATGCACGGAAGTTGCCATGTGGTATGCGGTATATTGGATACCATGCCACAGAGTACCTGCACATCAAGTGGTCTAAAATGTTACAAAATTTACTTGCGTTATTTAAATGTGCTTAATTGTGGTCAACTTATCTTTCAGCAGATTTCTATCGATAGATTGAAGTAAGATTGACATACAAACCACTAACCAGGATCTAGGGTGAAGATCTTGCAAGTTTACTGAGTCCAGTATAGTTGGATCCCCAAACACCCTGGACTGCGATGACACACAACCGCTAACCAGCTCCTGTATCCTGCAAGGAGAAGATCAGGATCAAATTAATGTGAGCTGACCAAAATCTGTTCTTATCAGAAAAGAGGAAATGCAAACCTATAAGGAGCATGTGCAAACAATACAGACTGGAAAACATTTTTGTCTAGTCTACTCATCTCGCCCTTTCCCTCAAACCCCAAAATGAATCTAGTAATAGATTTTGTTGACACTGATAGCCTTTTCAGGAAAAATGATTCATTTAATCATATGCATTATTTTTCAAATGCACAGAATTAATTACACAAAGTGCCACTTAATGATAGGATTAAGTACTCCATATTTGAGCCTGTGCTCTTTCAATCGCAAATTACTAGTCCTAATATTGAATATCAAGGGGAAAAAAAAACTTCTGAGCAAGAAAAAAATCTTGACCAGGATTTTCCCTTTAAAAGCAGCAAAATGACTCAGAAGTTTTTTTTTTCATATAGCATGATTTCTCCGTTATGTGGCCCCTTCTATCCTGGCCATATTTTTCTCCCCAAAGCAACCGCTGTTATAAAGTAGCAATTAATGTTGATCATGCACTTTGGAAGTGGCTTTTAACATGATCTATGCTGATGCATAATACAACTCAAATTATATATTGCATCTAGAGTAAATGTGTTAGGAGTAGGATATGGAACTAGCCTATAAAAGAACACAGGTTCAAAAGGAAATGGAACAACCAGAAATAATCCCTCTTCTATGAGGTGCATTATGATTATAATCAGTGTTCTACTGAAAAAAATATTTATTACCAGTCATAGAGCAATCAAGATGGTTAGAACTGTCTATCCTAAAGGAAAGGACCTCAGTGACGGTATTCCGAGATAGACTAAACAAGATAAATATTCTTACTTCTCATATAGCGGCTGCCTTTGCTGGGGTTGTTCAGATTCAAAATATTCAAAAAGAAGCTCTGAGTCACCACAATATGATGAGTTGATAGATGAAACAGACCCATTATCTGCAGCAAATGGAGATAGTTCAGAACAATGCATCTGACTTTTGGGAATTGGAATGTTTGCATCCTGATTCTGAAGCTGAGGAAAGTGTACAGAAAAATTTGGATGTTGACTGGAAGATGAGTGTTCAGACATGTCCCTGATTTCACAAGCCTCTGAAATATTACAATCACAAAATTTGTCTCTGCTAGGGATACATTGAACTTTCTGGTATTTAAATAGCTGAACTGCAGATAAAGAAGGAACAAAGTAAGCACGGAAGGGAACATGACTGCCTCCCAGTCTCCTTGAAGTGTAATCCTGAGCTCTTAGCTCTAACCCATAGCTCCCATGTTTCTCATACCACTGCCACATGCATCCCAAAGTTAGGTCAGGTGTCACATGTCTGCACAGTGTGGCACCATTAGCATTGTCTTGTGAGCAGGTCAAACAACGGAGCGAATGGGAAGACTGGCAGATAAAAGGACTACATTTATGAAGTAGTCTTTCTACCTCTGCAATTGGGCTACCAGTGGCCATGTGAACAGTTTCACATGCTAGTTGTACTCTACGAGCATCATTTATTGCTTGAGCAATTCTGAATGAATAATGTTCTGACGCTTCATGATGCTCACATTCATAAATTAAGTAATTATCAACTGCAGGCTTGTCCTTGTGATACGATAGATTAGACGCTACCCGATTTCCCAATTCTTTATTCTCATCCTTATCTAGGCAAGAAAAACTATTGGAAATCTGATCCATGCATGTTCCACTTTCATTTGATATAGAGACCTGTTTTTCCGAAAAGGAGACCTCTTTCGGTTCACCATTGCTTTCATTTAATAGAGAAACCTTATCTGAAAAGTAGACCTCTTTTTGTTCAGCATCAATTTCCAATGTAGAATCCTCATGCGATGGTTTGTCAGAATACTCGGGGGTAGAACTATCAGATCCAGATATGGCCAACCCTGTATCCTTCTTCCCAATTGGTATCCATTTCCAGAGGATAGATCCAGAACTGCTGTTTTGCACATTGTAAGCTGCAGAAGAAGCTTCTTTCTCTGTTTGACCAACGTCATGACCTGAGAGATGGGAATGAAGTGGAGACTGCTCCTCAGACACACTAGATTGGTCGATGTCATCAGACGGTGCTGACAACGAGCTATTCTGATTCTCTGTATTTTGATTCTTCAAAGTCGAAAAGTTACGCAAGACACCTTTTGGTAGATCAGAATCCTCCAGATGAATCTGTGCATTGTCAACTGATTCAGATGTTATCTGTTGATTTCCTTTGGTTTCAAGTTCAACCTTTGGAGAATTAAAATGAGAATGAGATTCAGAGACCCTGCTTGATACTTCTTGACTATTTTCTTGAGACGAGGCATGCGGCATGTCATTCAGTTGAACACCAACTTCTGCACTGTCATTAAAGATAGACCTGTCATTAAAGAAAACAGCCTTCCTTGAATAACTGCAGTATCCTTTCTTTGAATCTGAATCCATTTTACCTTTTGATTTCCGATTAACTTGACTTTTTGAGTGTTTCTTATTATCTGTTTGAGATAGACTATTTGCACAATCAGCATTGCAGTTCCTGTTAACAGAAGGAGCCTTTTTCAAAAAGGAATGACACACTGACAAAGTTGCATTTACTTTCTTTGAATCACCATTGCATTCATCAGCATTATTCTTTTGAACCTTTTGCCAGACAGAATGGCTGTTTTCTTTCCCTGTACGGCAATGGAAATTTCCAGCACCATTTTTGTTGACACAACTCTGGGATGATCTCCTTTGCTTAACTTTCTTATCACCAAAGCTGGAGTTCTGAGCACTGTACCTATCTCCCTCATTATGGTCAAAGTCATTAACAACAGCATTTGATAAGCCTTGGCTAGCGAGATATTCATCTTCTGACTTTGAAACAGGTGGTTCTGAACAACTGATTCTGCAACTTGCCATGCCGGATTGCTTTTCAACAACTCCAGCATTGGTACTTTCATCACTGTTTGAAGCTACAGAAACTGAATCCAACGCCAAAGAGTCTGGCATATCAAGCAAACCTTCAGGATACAAGGCAGAATGATTCTGTTGCATGTCCTTTGTGTTTCCCTCAGTGTCTGCAAATTCAGAGCCATTGTTTTGAAGCTGATTCTTTGAGTTACACATGGCAGATTCTCCAGTAGATTTCTGAACCATAGGTATTGTAGCTTCTGGCAACTCCACGTCATCAATACCAGATGTGCAAGTTTTTGGTGCTTCAGCAAGATTAATTCTGTTATCCATCCCATCCCTTTCAGAATCGTTTCGTATTGATTTATCACTAGAAGATGAAAATTCCGATCCATTTGTGCAAGAAATAAGCATGTTCTCATCATCCACATCATTATTGCCACAAGCTTCAGGAGCCAAACTTGCACTATCATATATCTCAGAAAGAACTTCGGGTTCAGTTGAGCTACTATCACTTGATTGCTTCTTGCTCTGTTTACCTTTCTTTTTTGCCTTTTTTCTTGAATTTTTCTTCACAGATTTGTCTGCTTTGGAATTACTCATGAATGTATTAGACGAATTAACTACAACAGAACTATCAGCAAACACATCAGAGGAATTACTGGAGATCAAGGGAAGGGAACGAGAATTCCCAGAGATTTCATTCAGTTTAGCAGCTCGGCTTGCAATCTTATTTTGACATCGCCGGTAGACATTTGATCCAGCATTGCTTCTTCCCATACATGATTTCAAGGAATAAGCATAGTCAGGTACAGCTGATCTTAACCCCTTATGTTGATCAATTTTTGACCCATTAAGAGGCGGAGGGAGAACAAGTTGCAGGCCTTCCATAATTACTCCAGATGCTAAATTAGTGTGACCAAGACACCACACTGGTAATGCAACAATTTTCCAGTTCCCATCAGGCTCAAAAGTAAGGAACGCAAGGATGGGACACCTGATAAACAATGGCAGAACTTAAAAGCAGTCACTTCTACATGTCAACATTAAAATTTAAAGAAACAAAAGTATGAGAAGCTTTATGATAATGGTTATGCATTAAGAAACCAAAAGCAACCACTAACAAATATAAAAGCTGCAACATTTTTATTTAAATTAACAAATTGCATAAGTAATTCATTAAAAAAAAAAAGTGTTGTATACTTGTACTTATGTACTCTTATCCTACTGTCTTATTTTAACTCTCGACCATCTAAAAGGAAACTCAGCCCCCTAATTAAATAAGTAACTTATGTTAGTGTAAGAATATAAAAAAAAGAACAGCCAAAAAAAAAAAAGGATTAAGAAGTTTAAGAATTTATCCACTTTCATAGGAGCAACTTATTAACATGGGAATAAATATCGATAATGGAAATGTAGAGTGCAGACCATATTACTCCTAAGGGTGCAGTGTGCTTGCATAGAATTTCTATCATGAAAACTATTTTAGTGGCATTCTATAGTGAGAAATATATTTCTAATGAAATATTACTTAGAGGACAAAGAGATAGATGAGCAAGTCATTGGTCCACTACTTTCAAGAAATGAATCAAAAATAATGAAAGATTCATAACACAAAAGGTGAATAAGATATGATTGGTCACAAGAAGATTTTACCCGCTATCAGAGTTCCTTCCTGAAAGAGCAGATTCTTCACAATCCTGAAGAAAAAGAAGATAACCATTACAAAGTGGTAAGGAAAAACTTCCTAAAAGAAAAGTCAGAAACACATGCCAAAAGTAACTGCATCCAAGTTTTCTAACCTTTGAAGGTGTTGTAGATATCTGTTGCTGTTCTTGATTCCTTAATGAATCCTTTCCTGGTGTTGAAACTTCTAGACTTTCAGTGCTTATGTCTTGAAGAACAAAATGCATCTTCCTTTCCTGCCAACGTCAGCAGCATAAGCAAATCTATAAACCAAAAGTAAAGTAAGGATCAAGCAAATCTATTAACAGTCACTTTGGAAACTTTCAAGCCAGAATCAGAATTAAAGCAAAAATATAAAACCCTTATGAAGGAAAAAAAGCCATGACCAAGAAAAAGCCAAATGCTTGATATTAATGACACTAAGCTCAAATATTAGTCAAAGAAAAGCCATAACATCAATGCAGAAGAGAAATATTGCATTTTTGCATTACAGCCTCAGTTTCATCTCCATGTTTACCGAACACCAAGCACAGGAGTAATGATTACCAAAAGATCCATTGCACAAGATAGGACTTTTTTTTTTCATAGCCATGCAATGCCATACTTTTAAACCCATCAAACAAGAAGTATCTATCGATGTACAGACTCAATGACTACTGACTACTTAACAAATGAGCGTTATAACAAGCAATAAGAAACTGAAACAGTGTTAGAATCACAATGTTTTTGCTCTTGTTTCCATCCTTTAAATATCTTCTACTTTTCTCATGTTAACAGTATATTTCCAATTTCTTGTTAGAGCATCCACTAGATCAGCAACTCAACATAATTTACTAACTATTGAACATGATTTTCCAGAGCGTCAAATAGCTTCACAGCTCAGGATCGTAATAAAATGAGCTTACAATAAATAGAAAATGGCAATGGCATGAAAAGCAAGGACATATATACCCCTATCAAAACTTTATTGAAGCTTTGCATCATGTTATGGAAAATGGAAAAACACATTCATTATACAACTTTAACTTGTATATCTACTTTGAATACCAGGTTACCAGAAAACACCCCTCCATGAACTACACACAGAAGGCTTGCTACACTAGATTAATCCTTCAACTTCTGGTATGATATAAATGATGGGTAACAATACTTTGGTTTTGAGTCCAAAAAAATGGTAATAATAATAAAAAAAGTTAACGGACTTCGATGGAATTGTAGACTGAAGCAACACAAAAATAGGGCTGATTGGAGCTGCCCAAAGTCTTTAAGTTGGCATACAACTGAGAGGAAAAGATGAGGAAGTTCTGTTAAAATTTCAGCAGCAGAAGTTAATAGCAAAAAAGAAATTTGGCGTGCCTAACCTAAGCTGTAAATTAGCGCAACTAATTATCCCCCCAACATTAGCTAATGAACCATTTCAAGGCAGATTCCCAGGACAGATAACAACTGCCAATTTGCTTAAATATTATGAATTGGCCGTGCAAAGATGCAGACCTTAACCCATGGAAAAATGCAACAGTGGTAGTCGAGAATTACAACAAGAAGTTATGAATTATCAGAAAACAAATAGGTAAAATATAAAATAGAAACTCCAAAACAGTTGATGAATTCAATTGGAATATCAATATTCATAATCACAGAAGAAATAATGTAATATCAAATTGCAGATGTGAATGACTGACACAGCAGTTCAATTGGAGTAGAGTGTGAATGGAAACCCAGAAGGTGAAAGGCATCGTGCTTATACAGAGAAGAACTAAAATAGCATGAGCCAACTTTATAGAAAATCTCAAATCATATACGAAAATTCCTAAATAAGCAAGATACCTGACCTTTGCAATCTTCGAATCCAGCTTCTTGATTCTGACATAATAGATGGTAAATGAACCTAAATAATTTGAGCCTCAAGAAGCACAAATATCATCCAAAATCAAGCACATTTCAGGAAGATCAAGTGACCTTAAAGGCCATTATTCCACTAAAGTGCAGATAGCGGTTGATTGTTATATTCAATAAGGCACCCGTCCTCTTCATTTCTTGATCATCAATCAATGAATTTGAAAGAATTGAAAGACATGTGCAGAAGAGGAGAGAATGCAATTCCACTCGCAGAAAAAATATGCAGGGATGGAGAAACCCCAACTTGGATTCTCCCAAAATGTATGGATATCTATCTACCAGTCAAAAGATAGGTGTTCTTCTAATTTAACCAAAACCTCACTAAACTGGCCTTTCCATTTGATCCAATAAATTAAACAAAGGCCATTTCGAAAATTATAAAAAATATAAAGATAAAGAAAAGGGGGAATAACAAAACAATCAAACTTTAAGAGACTAAAGCATTTGAGCCGCTAATACGAAATCTACAAATGAATTTGACTGCGCCACAAACCTTCTGCCTAAATTATTTCAAATAATTGCGTATCCTCGGCCAGAAAATTCGCCCCCATATTTAGGAACGGGTTTGAGATAACAAGAATGCACAAGAACACCTAAATTAGCCAAAAGATTTCCTATATTTAGATTCGCCGGCCACATAGCACGCGCAAAAGATCAAAATAGATATCTAAAGGAAGAGAAGAACCACAGAAAGAAGCACACTCACTGATCATTTCCAAAGCCAGTAAAACAATCATCAAACAAACAAAAACTGCAGATGTCTAGAAATGGGTCCTTTTCACAAACACATTTGAAAAAGACAGTAAAGTCATGGGTTGTTGAAATAATCGTGTAACGTAATGATCCCAGCTTTAATAAGACGAACCATGATATGACTTCCAGATGGTCGGAACAGCTTTCGCTCTGCTTCTTTCTTCCCAGCCTCAATGGCTCTCTTTTTCCTCAAGTAATCCCCCGTCTTCGTTTGAAATTTCTGTCTTCGTCCTACCCTTTATAAGCCTGTATCTCTCTCTCTCTCTCTCTCTTCCCTTTCTTTCTTTGGAAAATCTTCTTGCGTATCGAAAATCGACCCAGCTGTGATGATCAGTTTTAGCTCCACGGACACTGAGGAGTGACTACCAACTACCAAGAACGTTTTAGTCATTCAAGTGCACGGAACGGACAATGAAATGAGGCGTGATGGGAACAAACGGAAGAAAAATGACCGAAATAAATGATTTTGACTGTGATTCCTGAATTCCTGAATCGATCGAATGGGAAGAAAATCTAATTATGGCGTTTTAATATTTAAAAAAGCAGGTGCATTTTTTTTTAAATATTGATAGGTACAGAAATTATTGGTGGTAGAAGCCAAGTGTAAAGCATGCACGGAAACTAGCAATTCTAGGCGGACTCAGGGTGAGATATTTGGAGTTTGTTGGTCTCAAAATAAGCAGAAGGTCAATTAAGAAGAAAAAATAGAAACGTGAATTATTGACTTTCTCGCCTTAAATTTTTATTTTTATTTTTTCCTTATTTGAATGATAGCACATAAGTTTTAACCATCTTAAATCTTAAATATGTTTAAATCCCTAATTTTAGGGTGGCGCAATAATACGAGTCTCAATACAAGCTTAGACGGGTCCAAACATGAGTTTAATAGATGGTTTAAATATAATAAAATGCTTTTATATCTTTTCTATTATATATAACTGTCTTTTTATTTGAAACAATTACACTGGAGATAATTAATTAATCCTTTATATTGATTTTGTTGCCTTCATTTTTTCCTTTTTTCCTTATTTGAATGATAATGCAAAAGTTTTAACCATCCTAAATTTTTTGAAGTCTAATTTTAGGGTGGCGTAATGCTACTCCTAATACAAGCTTAGACGAGTCCAAACACAAGTTCAATAAATTTATTAAAATTTTATAAACTTTGAGACCCCTTTTCAAGTTCCAAATGAGTTTATATACATAATTATTTCCATTATACATAAGTGTCTTTTTAGCAAAGACAATCATATTTGAGATAATTAGTTAATATTTAATATTGACTTCAGTGCTTTAATTTTTCCCCCCTTATTTGAATGATAACGCAAAAGTTTTAACCATCTTAAATGTGTTTGAAGTCGAATTTTAGGATGGCATAATGCAACTCCAAATGCAAGCTTAGGCAAGTCCAAACACAAGCTTAATAGATTGATTAAAATTTTACAGATTTTGAGACTCCTCTCCAGATCCCAGATGAGTTTATAAAAACATAATAAAATGTCTTTATATCTTTTTTTAATTGTTGCAAGTGTCTTTTTATTAGAAAAAATCATGTTCAAAATCACTAGTTTTTTATATTAACATTGCTGCCTTAATTTTTTCCTTTTTTCTTTATTTGAATGCTAATACAAAAGTTTTAACCTTCTTAAAATTATTTAAAATCATGACTTTTGGTGGCGCAACGTAACTCCAAGCATAAACTTACCGTGTGATTTAAAAAAATATATAATATTTTTAATCAAATCACACATTTCAATAAGTTAGTTAATTAAACTAATATTACCTTTGCATGTTTGACCTTATTGACTCACTTAAAGATAAATGATTTAGTTTATTTATTAAAAAATTTATTATTTACACATTGAAAAGGTAAAATTGTATTATAATTTTTAATATCTAACCTTAGAAAATATGTCTTATATTATAAATGGAGAGGGCATATTCCATTTGGATACTTTTTACCTTTCTCCGTTAAAATTGAAGAAAATAAACGTTCAGATTTTTTTTTTTTTTTTGCAGCGTAACGTATATTATCTATATCTTACTTTATCTTTGCCATATAAATTAGCATCATGTGGCATTTATGTGTAATATAAAGATAGCAAAAGAGGAATAATTGTTATGTGTTCCTTATGTGATCATTAACGACATTCATTATAATAGGCTACAAAAAATAAAATATATTTATTTTGTAATTTTATTTTATTTTTACATAGATGTAACACTAACCAACGTAAGAAAAACATTTTCTTAGATTCAAATTCCTTAATTTTTAGCATAAAAATTTTGTTTTGATAATATCTACATAGAGATAACTTTTTTTTCATTTGATAATATTTGCACTCAAATTGTAAATTTGGAGGCCCAGGGTCAATTCAATTTAATTGGCTTTAAAATAATTATATAAAAAAAGAATATTTATGAAGTTTTAGCCATTAAGTCAAGACCACCACCCATGATGAGTGAACATGATGGAAAAAGTACTTCCTAAATTCAAGAAAAGTGGCAATCATGAGGCTTAGGTACCAAGCCAGGATCATCTATAAATAGAAGAGCTCTCTTTCAACAATGGTATCATCAAATCATCATCAATATCAACAAACTATCAGTCTCAGACTCCGCATTTGCTACTTTATTTTACTTTTTTTTATCATGTAGCTTTAGTCTTTATTTTTCATTGTACGATCGGCATAGCCCGCCACCATTTTTCTTTAATTAATGCATTTCTGCATTTACATTAGTGTTCTTCACTTTGCATTTTCATATCCGGGTGAACTGTGGTAAGGGAGCTCAGATTCCCCGCATTTGATTAGAAGTCAGGTTCTTCCATCCTCTTGAGACTTCACGTCTCTGGCACACATTGTGACACCACGCCTTAATTATTTATTTTTTACAAATAGATAATAAGTAGTGCCGTAATCTCCAGATTTTTTACTGGCAAAAAATTCAATATTTTATAATTAATAAAGATTCTAAAACAATTTACTTGCATATTTGTGATTTGAGAAGATATTGTATAATTTACCATTAAAATCATTTTCACTGATTCAATGAATGGAGTATAAAGAAGACCTTATCCTAAATTAAATAAACTGCCATATCAAGTATGAATGTGTCAATTTGCACATGACTTCAATACCCAAAATAAGGTTATAAATACACTCAAAACATCAAGAGAAGTAAAACAAAAAATATGCATTGCTAAAAACATATATGACTCTATAGAAAAAGAAGTGAGATAAAAGACATTGGGGAAAAAAAAAGGAGTCTATCAAAAGGGGGAGAAAATAGATGTTACATTTAGGTAGCAATTGGCAATTAATGGTATTAAAGGATAAAGAATAAAAAAAACGCAAATACAAAAAGAAAATGAATATATGGCATGTGTTACAATCAATTTGTTTTAGTTTATTCCCCTGCTTGGTATTTAAGAAAATATGGGATATTGTCATCATTCTTCTAAATTAATTCAAACCCACCGTAAAGAAATATTCTTTATTAATGTTATCTTTAAAATGTCTTTACCATTTTTATTTAATATAATTATCTATTTTAACGTTCAAACTTAAAATTTTAAATTAAATTGTTTCAAGCTTGTCAACTTGTCAAATCAAATAAAGCACCTCTCTTTAGTTGCAATTGATTTTAGTGATATTGCAAAGTTTGTACTCTCCCAAAATGGGGTTTCTCTATTTCTTTTTTCTCCATTTTCTTCCACTTCCCCTATCCCCATTATTTATTAATTTTATTATTTAAAAAATTGTTTAATAAAAAATTTTGAATGGTGGGAATGGGAGAAGTGGAGGGAAAGGGAGGAAAAAAATAAAGAGACCCTTGGTCTGTACTCTCCACGGTGTCCCTCTGCAACCTTTGTCTTCATCTTCTTCTTCTTGTTTTTCTCCTCTTTTCTTCATCCCATTTCCAACCTTAGATTGGATGAAGAATGTCCATATTAATTCAAACTCTAACTATAAAATTGTTATTGTTAATCGCAATCTTATGAGTATTTTAAAAATAACTTTATTATATTTATTTAATATGATTACATATTTTAAAACTTAAATTCATGATCACAGGATAAGTTTAACCAACTTTTTAAACTAATTGAAATTTAAATTGTTAAAATTTTACTTACACAATCATAATTATAATAAAATTATAAATAAATAATTTTAATTTAATAACGATATACAACTATGAACTGTGCAATTCAAATTTTAACAATTTAAATTTATTTATTTTTATATGATAATAATTTTATGAAAAATTAAATTTGTTGGGAAAAATAATTAATTGAAATTTAAACTATTAAAATTTAACCCATACAATGCATAACTGCAATAAAAATAAATAATTTTAATTTAATGACAACATATACCCCAACTGTCAATTGTCAACTGTGCAGATCAAATTTTAACATTTTAAATTTATTTAGTTTTATATGATAATTATTTTATGAAATATTAATTTTTTTTCAAAAACTAATTATATATTGCTAAAATGTAAATCTGAAAATGTATCATTGCTAATAAAAAGTGAAACAAAAGAAATTGAAAAGCGAGGGATGTTACCTTTAGGTGGCAATGATCGGTCATGACGTTGAAGGAGAAGAACCAAAAAAATCCATAAACGTTCTGTTTTAATATATATTTTATTTCATTTTCTTAAATGTACAGATAAATATATAAAAATAAAAAAAATTATATATAGGTTTTGTAGAGCAAACTTATTTATAAATAAGTCTTATAAAATTTAAAAATTATCATTAAATTCCTTAAAACTTGAGTGTAATTTAAAATTAGGATAGAAAACAATAATGCCTCTATTAAACAAATATATATTATATCAGTCAAATAATTTATAATTACTTTATTAGTATTTTACAATTATAACTTTAACTTTTTATAACTATAATTTCATATATCCAATAACTAAATTGATTAGTTAAACTATTGAATATGTGAAGTTATAATTGTAAAAAATTAAAGTTATGGTTATAAATTACTGATAAAGTAGTTGTAAACAATTAATATTAAACTTTGTTAATAACACATAATTATTTAACTATTGAATATGTAAAGTTGTAGTTATAAAAAGTTAAAATTATAATTATAAATCGCTAATAAAGTAATTGTAAATTAATTATTTAATTGATGTAATATATATTTAATAGG